TTGGCCGGTCCCGTATTTTTTCCCCTTGGGGGGAATAAGGTGGGGGGGGGGGGGGGGCGTACTCATTTTCGCACATCTTATCCCCGTCCTTTAGGGACTCTTGTGCCCACCATCTATCCCCAATTATCGTGATCGTTTTTTCGCTGTTGTCTAATTTACCAAACTTGTCCATGTCACACCCTTTCTGTCTCATTTCCTCCTCGAGATCCTTTTTTTCCTTCCTGTACAACTCACACTCCCCAACTATGTGGGGTCTACTCTCCTCCGATTTGCCACATGGACATGTGTGTCTATCCTCCTCTTCCTCTCTCCTAAGGCTGAGGGGGGGGGGGGGGGGTACTCATAGTTGTGCATACCGTAGTCGTTAGACCATTGACCTCGCATCCCTACAAAGCCGGGACGGAGCACGCCGGGTTCTCACCGGACCAGGCTCTCACAACACCAAGCGCGAAGCGCCGTGAGGTATTCGGCGAGTCGCATGAAGGGTGCGCTGCATCCCGCTAAGGGTGTTCGGCATCTTGTGCTTACTTCCTTGCGTACGGGTGACAGCTGCGTATGACTTAATTTATTTTCTGGTGCTTTCCCTTCCAGAGACAGTTGTAAGCACTGTGTAACTGCCTCGAGGATGCTTGACCATTTTAACACAACGTGGTGAGATCATCCCCCTTACGCGGAGTGAGGGTTCTCGACCCCGCACAACATGAGCTACTCGACCACCATTATGGTTACTGTACCGCAAAGAAAACAATAACAGAGGTAAAAAAAAAACGCGGTAATCTGGTTGCCGAGTTCACGAAGTGTATTTGCTTTTTTTACAATGTCGTTGCCAAGCGACGACAACCCAACCCCGATGGCAAACACCGTGGGGGGGGGGGGCATTCGTTGTATTTGCCGTGGCGCAAAATTCGACCGATGTGTACCAACGACCCGCTTTTCGTTACGGAGCGCCGTGTTTGTTCTCCCAGTTTGATGGGATGCGGAAAACGTTTGGGGAATGGCGGTGGTTTCGGGGCAGGGCGAGACGCTGCAATTGTACGGTACATTAGTATACGTGAATATACATAGCATGAGAGAAGATAAAACGGACGGGAGGTGACGCAGGCAACGGCCCAATTGGTACTGTTCATCGACAGCGGTTTGGTAATGCTAAGGTTCATGATTGAGAGCCCAGCTTTCAAAATATGGTGAGAGTCTGCGTCTCGAAACAGCCTGGTCTGAGTCTCTATTTAATGCTTCCACATCTGTGCTTGTAGATCAAGAGACTTAATGCTGTTGTGTGCGCACATACCTCAAGCAGCAACAACGGGAGCCGTTAGCACGTAAAACATCCAACGAGGATACGTGGACTCTCGCGGTCCCTGATAAGTTGCTCATTGTATGGCCACTTTATTCTTCCAATAACAACATCAATCCAAGCCTGGAAATGCCAGCATACACACGCTGACCTCGATGCCATCGCTCTCAAGGAGAGAGTTCCCGCAACCTCCCGCAACTACAGCAAGCAGTGAAGTGTGCAACCCCAGTGCGGACCTGGTTGATTTCCTCTCGCACGGAAGGATCTGCAAGGTTCTCCAGGAAGCTACGGAGCTCAACGAAGAACTTTTCTGTCATCTCTCCCACGACCGCTTCCCTCGCCTCGCGTTCGACAGCAGAGCTCTCATCCTTAGGCGACTGCTGGCTGGCAATTGTAGCAGCGGGAGGTTTGGTTGTTGCAGCAACAGGCCAGTCCCATCCTTCCGACTTGTCACTGCTGCTGTTGTTGTCGCCGCCGTCTGCTGCTGCCGCCTCGCCGTCATCATCCCCCCAATCATCCCAGTCATCGGCCATGGCACACAATACCCGCTCCTCTCCCTCTGTTTCTCTCTGAGCAGGGCGCCCGCGTGCGTCTCCAGGCAGCAACGAGCAAAGGAGCAGGCACAGCGGTGGCACCGCGAACTGAACCAAAATGCCTTCGATTTTGGTTCACGAAACGGTCCAGTCGACGAGCGAGAACCAGCGCAAGATTATGTAGGAAAGATACCTGCTGTCTGCTGCATGTACTGCGAGCTTGTTTTGCTCCGCAGTAGCCTTCACATAACGCCCAAGCTGGCGATCCATGGCTCGAAACCTCACGCTTCGGCGCTATGCATTGTCCCATGGGGTCGGAAGGTCGGTCAAACGGGGGGGTGCTGTGACGGTGTTCATCTCGATGGTGGCGGCGGTCGCCCTCCTACCGGAAGTCAACGCGAGATACCCTCAGGATGCGCTCCGGTGCCTGGCCTCCCTGAAGGAACCAGAAGGGCTGCTAATCTGCCCGGAGCATAGGTGTGTCTATGTGGCTTCCGGACGCAGAACAAGTAGCTGGGCTACATCAGTGCGACCGTGAGGACCTCTTTCGCTTCCTATTCTTAGTGCGATCTTGGTGACGATCGTGCGGAGAAATAGAGATCTATCGCGAAGGTTGGAGATAATCGGAGATCTGTTTTCAAAACGAACCACGCGGCTGGTTTCGGTGTGTGCATGACAGCAGTTTAGTAGGCTAGAACCCCCATCGCGTGCAACACTTCGCAAGACTTACAATATTCCGTGAGGGTTTTCGAAGACATCATACATTCATGTTGTCCGTAGATTCATGCTGCACTCATTCGATGTGGTTCTTGCAAATATTGTTTTTCTCAAGGAACGGGTACTGCGTGAAGGAGGTATCGGACTTGGCAGAAGAGGACTGCGGTCGGACGACCTACTTCGGGGACAAGTGGAATGCTCAGTGAGTAAAAGTTTGCTGCCACTGTTGCATGATTAAGCTTAACCCGCGGGTAAGTCCTTTCCTTTCCATTCCTTGTGTGGTTGTGGCTGTGGCTGGCTGTGGCTGTGGCTGTGGCCATGCAGTGTGGCTGTTTGTCGTCATCGGAATGCTGAGCAAGATGGAAAGGCTGGTCTGAGAAGATACTACCACCGCTGACGTCACAGGATTGTATTCATCAGCGCGAGAACAGCCACAACTGCTCCTAGACAAGGTCACACCAAAAAGTGCTGCAGCTCCAATCATTGTTGTCTATGCTCTCCAATACTCTGTAAAGTGATACAACATTCACGTTCACTACCATGCGAGCTTGTTGTGTGACCCTCTGCTTTAATTGCCATTAGTTGTCTGACCACACAGCCACATATTCTCTCGTGCAACATCAACAGGACCGGTAAGTGTGAATACCGCAAGTGCGAGGCGACCTGCCTAGAGTCCAGCTGGGATTTTGAGTTCGAGGGGGAGGCGTACGAGAGAAATAGGTTCTGCTGCGACTTCAACTATTGCAACGGTAAGACGCTGCTTCAGCGACAGTCAGCCAGGTCTGAAGCAGGGGATTCTCAGGGATGTATGACACTCCTAGAACCGAGACACTGTATTGTGAAGCGCAAGTCGGCCATCTCCATCGCAGTTCCTCTCCGCCCAAAAGGTTCTTCGACCGACTCCTGGTACAACGATTGCCGCCACCTCCTCCCCCCACCATTTTCCGACGGTATTTTTTTGCACTCTACTCACGCAATGGATACATGGAGGCCCAACACTACCTGTTGTTGTTGTGCTCTGTGCGCGTCGCGGTTGCAGCGGAACATTTAGCGACCGAAGACAAAGGTGGCGTGTATGCGATATGAGTAGTGTCACAAATTAATTTAATAACTTGTGCATTAGGTGTCGTATGCCCCCCCCTCCCCCACCTTCCGTTTCCTTCCATTCCCAAATACGGCGCCCCCTCTCTCCCCCTCAGGAATATCGAGGCGATTTTCGAGGGCTGGCATGTCGGCGTGGGTATCTGGAGTTGTGGCGTTGCTTCTGACGCTTTTGTACCTTAGAGAGGAGCAAGCCGGATGAAATTGGTCCTATCGCCATTGGCGTCTTTTCTTCTCGAGCATAGAGTGCCATCGGAGCAGCAACTTGTCTATCTCAAGGGCAAGTGCAAAGAAGGCAGTTTTACCCACGGTCGAAAGGTGGGGATCCTGGGACAATTGATTGATGGATGAAATGTGGCCAACTTCTCTGAAGAGAGAGATTTCCAAGGGAGGGCGAAGGGGATGGATCCTCTCGGCCGACTGATCGGCGTTCGATCTTGGTTGATGATGATGGTGGTGGATTATTTCTCATCTATCTTCCGTCTGTGTGTAGTTTACCTAGACTACAGTGGTAGGCTTCGCGAAGGATCGTGGCGATGGCTGTCGTCATCATCATCAACCTCGCGATGGCTGATCTCCCTTCCAAACAAGTATTACTGGCACGCAGCTTCCCTGATCGAAACGCCGGATATGTATTATGTCCTGACCGTCCGAGAGAGAAAAACATGAAGGAGCAACATACCCACGAGACATACAACGGCAAACGACCTACAACCTTCCATGTTGTGCATGTTCTCGTTCGTAGAAGGGAGAATCGGACATGACAATCTCCGCCTGGCGCAACTTCTTGCCCCGCTGCTGTTTTCTGTCTTCACAAAAAGACCAAATGCCATGAAGAGGCAAGTTGCCCCCGTTGCTGTGGATCGTTGCCCATTCTAACTCATCTACGATCCCCAGGACAATCAAAGGCAAGCCGCAGGTTGCTCAAAGGCCCACGGGTTGCTCAAAGGCCCCACGAACCGCCCTTTGGCGGTGTCCGCGTGTGAAGTCGTGCCAAAGGCATTGAAGCTTCAGCGGAGTTGTCGGTTCCCTCCAATAGATGAACATAACCGGGTTCCGCGCCGGCGTTTAGCTGAAAAAACGTTTGCTCTCCCAAAGCACAGGAACAAACACAAACCGACCATTCATGAACAAAAATCACATGCTTCATACAACACTTGAACATTTCACTGCCTATCGGACCTTACCGGTGGTAACGGCGCACAACAAAACCCACCTATTATCTACACGTCCCTCGCTATTCACATTATCGCTACACTTATTCTTGTGGTACTTCAACAAGTACAAGCGTCGCCCAGGGCCTCCTCAAAAGCGGTCGCTAAGCCGGGCTCTGCGGTCACAAAGGGGGTATTATCTTATCTCGTTCATGATGCAAAAGAACGGGAGGTGGAAGTAGCGCGAGGCCCTCTTCTCTTGAATGTGTCGTTCCCACGACAGTAGTCCTCCACACAGCCCATTCTCTCTCCTTTCCACCAACGCTAACGCTCGATGGTGGCGCTATTAGTAGCCCAAAGGCCGCCTTCTAGCCCACGGGTGTACCGCTGTTATGCACACAACCTCCCTCGCAACCAACTACATGCGCGTCTTGGTTACAACAGCAGTAATGCTACCGAGGTTGACGCCGGGGTGCGACCGTCTACTTCGGTCTCTCGGTAACGGTAACACGGTGCCAGGAGCCGCCTTGGAACACCCCCCTACATCTAGCTCTCCGAAAAACAGCTCCCGAAAACTGGCAGCTTCTGGTACGGAATATCTCCACAAACGCAGCTCTCCGAAAACATGACGTTAACGCAGATTGTTGCGGCGGCCTCGATGCCTGCTGTACGGAGAAGCCGCAAACCACCCCGCTCTGCGAACGAAACTAGATAACCCTTCGGCGGTACTGGATGGTATCGCGATACTTGCTGGTGCCCCGCCCGCACTCGCTCGAGTCAAAACTGCGCCATGAAGTCCTCAAACTCCTGTACCACCTCGTCCCCTGACTCCTCCCCCGAGGAACTACTAGAGGTAGAATCCGACCGGCTAGCACTCTCCTCCTCCTCCTCCTCCTCCTCCTCGTCCTGCCCTCCCTCTCGCTCCTCTTCCTCCTCTCCCTTCCCTTCCTCCTCCTCCTCCTCCTCCTCCTCCTCCTCCTCCTCCTCCTCCTTGTCTCCCCCCCCCTCCTCCTCGCCATCCGTCCCACTCCCATTCAAACAATCCTCCAAATCCTCGACGCCATGTCCATCACCCGACTCCCCCAACGGGGCACTATTACCAGCCCCACCCTCTGCATCCTGTGATGACGTAGATCCACGGGACTCCCGCTCTTTGGTTTCCTCTCGTGCTTGTCTCCTGCCCACCCCCGTCCCCGTTCCTTGCAAACCTTTCACAGCCTCCTTTTCATCACTAGACTCTACCCCCGAGGTATCACCGCCGTCGCCACTGTGTTCGCTGTCTGAAGAGGTTTCGCCAAGCTCCTTTTCTTCGGTTTCCTCTCTTCCCGCTGCTCCTTGCCCCCCCTCTACCCCCTCCAAAACGCCCCGGAACTCCTTGGCGGCCTGTTCATCACCATTCGATTCTTCTCCCGAGCCGCCGCCACCCCCACCACCATCGGCGCTACCACCTCCGCCTGCTCTACAGGAAGACGGTTCGCCGGACTTCCGCTCTGTAGCGTCTCTTCGCCCCTCTGCCCCTGGTGCGCCCTCCATCCCCTCCGAAATGACCTGGAACTCCTTAACGGCATTCTCATCATCATCATTAGACGCTTTCCTGAAGGCGCCACCGCCGCTAAGAACGCCGCTGTCATCTTCACCGTCTGAGCTATCCGACGAGCTTCCGCCCAACTCCCGATCTTCAGCGTTTCCTCGCCCATGTGCCCCTGGCACTGCCTCTACCCCCCCAAAACGTCCTGGTTCCGCCTTTTCATCATCACCAGAGGCTTTCCTGGAGGCGTTACCACCATTGACAGGGCCCCTGCCACCTTCACCGTCCGAGCTATCCGAAGAGGTTGCGCCCAACTCCCCCACTTTAGCGTTCCCTCGCCCCTCTGCCCCTGGTATTGCCTCCACCTCACCAAAACGTCTTGTTTCCGCGTTTTCATCTTCATCATCAGAGTTTTTCTTGGAGGCGATACCGCCGTTACCACCGCCGCCGCCGCCATCTTCACCGTCTGAGCTGTCTGAAGACGTTTCGCCTGACTTTTGTTCCGTTGCCCCCCCTCGTCCTCCAGCCCCTTGTGCTCTCTCCATCTCCGTCAAAAAGTCCCGGAATTCGTTGATGGCCCTTTCGCCGTCATCGGACGCTTCCCCCGACGCACTACCGATACCATCGCCGCCATCTTCACCGCCTGAGCTATCTGAAGACGTGTCGCCGGACTCCCGCTCCTTTGAGACCCTCCGTCCCTCTGCCCCTGCTGGCGCCCCCTCCATCCCGTCCAAAAATTCCTGGAACTCCCTAACTGCCTTCTCATCATCACCATCACCATCATCAGGCTCTTTCCTGAAGGCGACGCCATCACCACTTCCACCACCACCACCGCCGCCGCCATCTTCACCGTCTGAGCTGCCAGAAGAGGTTGCGCCTGGCCCCGGCTCCTTTGCGCCCCTTCGCCCCCCTGGCGACCGGCCCACCACCTTCGAAATTTCTCGGGACTCCATGGTAGCCTCTTCGTCATCATCAGCATCCTGTGATTCAACCCCCGAGGCATTCCCGGCACCACCGTCCGCGCTATCAGAAGAGGTTTCGACGGACTTCCTCTCCTGCGCTTCCTCCCGTTGGTTGGGCCCGTGCCCCCCCCCCTCCATCCCCGTCAGAAAATCTCGGAACTCCTTGATGGCTCCTTGAGCATCACCAGATTCCTCTCCCGAGGAGGAACTACTAGTATAGCCGCGGTCATCGCTTCCACCCCGCGATGGTGATTTCCCGACCCCGCTCCCCGCCCCACCTTGCGGCTCGTCATCCTGGCGGTCCCTTCCTTCCTCTTCTTCAAGCATGCAAGCAAACTCACGCTCTAGGTCAGAATCGACCTCCTCATCACTCCCATCGCCCTTCTCCACCCCCAAACCCTCCTTCTCCGCTCTCCCTTTCTTCTGTTCTTTCGCTGCTTTCCCTCGCAACCTCTGCTCCCGCGCGGGCGCCGCCTTGACCCTCCTCGTCCGCCCTGGGTTTCGCTTTCGCATGCCGGCTAGCGGCGTCTTGCCGGACCGTGCCCCCCCCCCTCTGCCTGCTTGAGCTGCTCCGGCCGCTCTCCGTCCAGGCTTCGAAGGCATCTTGCCTCCCCTGACACCGCCGTTGCTACCACTACCCCCGCCGCCTCTGCCTGCCCGAGGCGCTCCAGCTGCTCTCTGCCTAGGCTTCGAAGACTTCTTGCCTCCCCTGACACCGCCGCTGCTACCACTACCCCTCCCCCCCCGGCCGCCGCCGCCGCCGCTTCCGCCACTCTCCAGGGTGTCCATGAACATCTCAAACTCCAGCGCGGCGGCAGTGGCCGACTCGTTCGAAGACGAAGACGAGTCGTTGTCGGAACTATCGTTGCCTTCGGCCTCGGCGGCGTTGCCTAGGCCTTCGTATCGTGCTCCCTCCCCCTTGTCTTGTGGAGTAGTTGTTCTCTTCACCGACCGCTGACGCTGGTTTTTGCTGCTTCTTTCGTCACCACCACCACCACCCGCACCGCCATCCTTGTTGCCGTCTTCGATTTCGCTCTCGCCGTCACTGCCGTGACCATCTAAATCCTCCAATAGGTCGTCAAGGTCGTCGTCGAGCTCCTCGGCAAGGTCGTCGAGGTGGCCGCTACCGTTTCGGTCGCCTTCCCCATCGCTCGACGACCACGAATCACCGCTGCTGCTGCTGCTGCTGCTGCTGCTGCTGCTGCTGCTGCTGTCCACCTCCTCCTCCTTGATGCCCGCACCGAGCGCTGATCGAGCCGCAGCCTTCCCTTTCCCGGCAAATCTATTCCTAGCGCTGGCGGCCAAGACCGATGCCGCTCCTCCACGCGCCCGCCGGCCGCTCGTAACGCCTCCTCGGTCGCCCCGACCTCTGCCCTTCCCCCGAGCGGCCTTCTTGCCGACGCCCGAAAAAATTCCACCCGTGCTCTGCCCCCTCCGGACGGCCTCCTCTTCCCGCGGGCGCTTCCTCTTTCCTAGCTTCCGGGGCGCGTCCGCCTCTACTCCCCGCTCCTCGTTCTGGTCGCCTGACCCCCGTGCCTCTGCCCGCGCCCCTGTTTCTACTTTCGCCGGTCGCTTGCTGCTGTTGCTGGTGCTCCTGCTTGCGTTTTCCTCCTCCTTTTTGCTGGCCGAGGTCATCTCTGGCTTCGCCGCTTTCCCTCTTGATTCCCCTTTGACCTTCGATCTTGGATGTTGCCTGGGCGCCGGTGCCGGTGGTGGTGCCGCCTCCGCCGACGGCGGGACAATACGGTGGCGAACGCCCAGCTGGGTGGCCCCCGGCAAGGGGTGGACCTTGCCGCCAATCCTCACGGCCGCGTCTTTGAGGTGGATGAACCACGTGGGCCCCCCCTGTCCTGTCCAACCAGAGCTCGTGGGGTTCCTCGGCATGTCCGCGAAGTTGTACTCGGTCACCCTGCCCTGCTTGGTCGGCGACGGTGGTGGTGTGGTCGCATCGGTGGACAACACCCCGGGTTTTGGAAATCGCCGGCGATACAAAATGAGCAAGAGGTTGGGGGGCAGCGGTGGGGTTGTGAGGGAAGCATAGCGATATGGTGAACAAGCGGGTTCTAGACAGCGACCGCACGGGTAGCGGCCAGCGCTTTTCCTTCTACCCAGTGAATGACAGCGACAGTCGAATAGGGAAAGCGGAGTGGGCACGGAGAAGGGCAGGGTGTAGCAGGAGTTGTACGGCGGTGATGCTGAGGGTCGATCCGTTTCGAGATCCACCGTGGCTTCGCCTCCTTCAAACGGCTGACAAACCCTTGACCATGGAATGCTACAAAAGACTCCACAATGACCATAAAGCATAACGTGTTGTTGGGACGCAGCAGTGCACGTTCAGAGCAAACACGCCCTGGGGTGACATTTTTCTCGGGACCCCCCCCTGTTCGCCCCCGCCGGGTGTGGCTGAACTCACCGTGAGCGCTGGGGTTGGAACACTGAACGACTTTGGGCGCCGTAGTTCCTCTGCCATCACCTAGATCAACACGGTAGGCAAAGAGAAAATCGTGCGACCGGGGGTCATGCGGATAAGCTGGGTGTGTGCACGGGTGGGGGTTGTGAATGGGGGTGAATCTCGCAAACCCCATAGAGTTTTTGCTGCCGCAACTACATACTCAGTACATGCAGCGGTGCCTCACGGGCAAGCTGGTGCCGCCGTTCCACATACGGGATACGGACGGCGGGGTCGACAGCAGAAGATGTGCAGAAAATGGAAGACCCAACCTCTTTGATTCAGCCTCATCCTTTCATCTCTCGGACGGCCCATGCTTACCTCCCTAACAATCTGTGTGTGTCTGTCTGTCTCTATCTGTCTTTCTTCTCTGGACATGGCCAGCACACGGGCAGCAAGCTCTCTGAGGACAACACACAAGCAAGCTTTGGTACAGCCACTACTGCTGTCGAGATGCGCGCAATAGCCGAAGCGGACAGCAGTGGCTGTTACTCATACCCAACAGCGGTTATATTCTCCTTGCCGCGAGTGACCCGATCCCCCACTCACAGCAGTCTACTTGTACACGCAGCCTCAAGAGGAGACCGTTGTACTGCGTGTACCATAAGAGTCGGAGAGATGGCACCCCCGTGTTAGCGTTGTTGTATAGCGCATTTCTCCACAACCAGGAGGGTACCACTGCCGAAAAGGGTAGTTTTGGAAACATCTCGTGGAGGGATTTCCGGAGAGGTATCGGTTGGTGTTCGCACCCTCCTAGTTGTGGAGAAATACGCTACCAAAAAGCGCTAACACGGGGAAGCCATCTCTCCGACTCTTACGGTACTCATGTACCTCATCGAAGTCAGCGAGGATCCGCCGCGCCTCTGCACCCTCGAGCTCTCCGGAGACGCAAAGCTTCTGCAGCGCGTGGAGAAGCGCATCACCAAGGTGCGTCCTGTGGTAGATGGCATCCATGGAACGCCGTCGTGGTGAGCGGCAGCGGTGGCGAGCAAGCCGAGAGAGTGGAGAACGTGGACTGGCAGCGAACTTGAGCGAACGCGACTTGAAAGGACTGCGGTAATTAGCCCCGCCTGATTACGAAGAGGCGTTTGCAGACCCTGGAGAGAGGAAAAAATACACGGAGAGAGGAGAGAGGACACCGCAAGAATATCAGCTGTCAGGGACGGACGGTCAGTGCTTCGTGCTTCGGCACACAACCCAAGCCTCCCAGACAACAATGGACGGCAGCAGCACCGCCTCGGAGATCCTTGGGCGCATCGAAAATGACGCCGTGTTCAGCGGCTTCCTGGAACCCGGCTTCGATCCGGCCAGTTTTGCCAGCAAAATAGTGCGGGCAGATGTGGGTCGGGCTGCCGCTGCTGCCGGGGCGGGAGCTGCTACTGCTGCTGCTGCTGCGGTTGGTGCGACACCGGTGCTTCAGCTGCAGCAGGGCGGGGATGGATTGGGCAACAGCAGCAACGGCGGTGGTGGTGCGGCTTCTGCCGAAAGCGTTTCCAGTCAAGCGGAGATAACGCTCGATGTAAGACATTACATACATACCCCCCTCTGACCTGTTGTTCTGCTTCTGCACATGCGGTTGCGGGGAATGGTGTGGTGTACTGTAGAGCATTAGCATTTCGAAGCCGTTCCCGTCAGCGCGACTGTGTGCATCCCACGTTTGAATTTGCAGCCAGCGGTCGTGTGTTGTGTCTCGCACGTACTCCTGTCTCCCCCCAGACTCGAGGGGCTGGGAACGAACGTGCATCGAATCGCGCCGCGACAACACTGCTTGCGTAGACTAGACTGCCGTAGATGCCCTGTAAGATATCACACCCCCAGGATCGATTTTTGATTTTTACACCTCCACAACTCCACGAAGAAGAGGCTGTAGCAGTCAAACCATACGTGTTCGGAAAGCTCTCGATGAGATGGCTCCAACGCGGCCATTTTTGGCACCGCCACTCTTTCTTCTGTAGAGAAAATCGAGGCTTGATTTTCAGTCCAGCAGGGGCGCGGTATCTGGTGTCACCTGCGCTCTCGACATGCGGCGGAATGTAGGTAGAGCAGGACCGGCTCGTGCATGCAGGCAGCCCGCTTGCGCAACTCTCGCCTACATGACCTTCCATATCTCCCCCTGTGGAGGAGTACCAGCAGCAGCAGCTTTTTTTTTGTTTTGATCCTCTCTCGTACCAACCTTTGCACACCTTTTGTGCCTGTATCCACGATCAGCAGCACCACCTCTGTGGCTGACCCTAGCCCCCCCTTTCTCCTGTCCGCTACCGCTGCACACCGTATCAGAGCATGTCTTCTCACATCGCGCGGATAGAGGCCGCCATTCGGTCGCACATCCTGGACAACGAGGAAGACTTCCTCGGCAGCGTCGGCGGCGTCTCGGAGCTTTCCCGCCGCACAGAGGAGTTCAGAGACGGCGTGCGCGAGCTCCGGCGCTCCTTCGCGAGGGTATGTAGTATGTATGTACTCTGCATGTACTGCTGTATGTGTGTATGTGTGTACTGCATGCACCATGTGTGTGTGTGTGTGTGTGTGTGTGTGTGTGTGTGCTTCGTGTGTAATGCGGTGCTATGTGCTACACGCGTGCGTGTCGCGAGTGTGTTACTGCGCGACGCACGCGTGTCTTGGCACCACAGCAGGGTTGGTTCTTCGTGTGCATAATTGACGTGCTCGTTCTGTTTGATGCACTTGCTACAACGACAACGACAACACCACCGACAACAACAATGATAACAATAAACAATTGACAGGTGCAGCGGGAAGTCTCCGAGCCCCACGAGGCCGTCCGCGTCCGCACCCAGCAGCTCAAGAACCTTCATGATGCAACCCGGCTGCTCAAGCGGGCGCTCAGGTTTCTCTCCGCCCTCAGGAGGCTACGGGGCCAGGAAGACGTCTTGGGCCTGGAAGCCGCTGCCGCCGCTGCCGCCGCCGGTGGTGCCGCTGGTGGGGGAGGGGTGGGGGCAGCCGGGGGGAGGAGTGCCGGCGGTGCGGGGGGGGGCGCTGCGGACCTTAGGGAGCTTGCCAAGGCCGCGCAGAGCCTGCAGGTGCGCGCGGTGGCTCTGGTTCCTGTTTTAACACCACGGCTGGTGTGTCTTCTGTTTTAGAGCGGCGGTTTTGGTGATTTTGCCGTTCGTTGCTTGGGTTCGCCGGCTTCGGCAGAAATGCCGTACCGGCAAGACTGTTCTGTTTTGTTTCCTCGCAGGCTTACCGGTTGGAAGTGAAATGCACACTTTGCAGCATTGTAAGTGAAACTTTCCGCCCTGGTTCTGGACTTTGGCGCTCTGCCGCCCGTCGCAGCTGTACGGCTCATCGTCAAAGGATGCCTTTGGAATAGCTTACGGTCACATGGAGTTTCCGTCCCGTTCCATAACACACGTTGGTAGCCGTTAGCGCGAACTACCGTTTGTGTGTTGTGATGCGCAAGATCCACGGCAATCACAAGGACTGCTGTGGCATAGCCGGAACCGAAGAGCATGGGGAGTAGTGGGGAGGTGGAGGAAGCGGCTCTTCATCTGTCAAAAGCGGACGAACACGCTGCAAATATTCGGCGGTACTGCATCATGGTACGTGTTTTTGGGGGTTACGCCCGAAAGAATACCCTGATGCCAACCGCATTGCGACCGAAACACAGGAGCTGGAGAGCACGCTACGCGACCCCGAGGTTGCCGAGCTCGAGGTTGTCGCGCGGGAGCGGGCATACGTGGAGGCTTGCGGAGCGGCAGTGCGCAGGATGTCGGCCGACTCTCTCGCCCGTGGGATGAAGTCCCTGAACCAGACCGACATAGGCGGCGCCCTCCAGGTGCTGGAATGGCGTTTTGTTTGTTTGTTCCCGCTGGGCTGGGGCTCAAGTCCGGTTGTTGCCATTGCTTCCGGTAAAGGCGTCGAAGAGAGACGTACAACAGGCTCAATTTTGGGTGGCAACAACGGTGGAAATGAATTGCTAAGTTATGGACCCTCCGACCCCCTGCCCTGAGCTATTGCCATCACGAAAAACATGGCTATTGAGAGACGTTCTGCAGACGTTGTACATACGGACGGTTGTATTTTTTTTTTGTGGTTTTGTCTGTTTCCACGCGGCCAAACGCCTGACAGAACCAACCCCGCTCTCTCGCCACTGTCTTTGCTGTGATGGGGACGTGCCGGCCGGACGGACAACACCCATCCCTTCGAAAGGTGTTCTTCAACCTGGAATGCTTGCCCGCAAGGGTGAAGGCGTGCGTGACCCACCTTGCTCAAGAGGCCGACGAGGCGACGTCGGAGGCCCTCCAGCCCGAAGCTCTTGCAGACGCGACCTCGTCTTCGTCGGCGGCGGTGGAGGCGGCGGCGGCCGGTGGTGCCGGCGGCGCGGGGGCCGACCAGCAGCAACAGCGGTCTACGAGTCCCACACCCGGCGGCATCGGTGAGGCCGCCAAGTACAAAGTCGTTTTTTTTTATTGTGTGAATGGGACTTGACTACTATTATAGGTCCGATGCTGACTAACACTGCACCGGCCCTTATGAGTAGCTGATGTTTTATGACTGTGTTCCGGTGTACGATACAACACCTGTTTTCTTTGTGCCTTTTCAATTGCATGTGTTTTTAGCACCAACCCGGCAATAAGATAGAAGAGAGAGAGAGAGAGAGAGAGAGAGGGAGCTACCCAATGTGTACCCGCGCCCCCAAAAATCCCCGACCCCGCCCCCACAATCAGGTGGCGGCGGCACGGGCGGCGGCGGCGGCGGCGGGGTTGGACGCCGTTCCCCTGCCACGCGGGACGCCGGCGCTAGGCGTCGCACGGCGAGCATGCGCGCCCACGCCGGGAAGCTGGCGGCCGCCCTCCACGGCACGTCGATGGAGGCCTGGGGGCTGCAGCGGGTGCTGGACAAGAAGCGGGACCCGACGACGCGCACTCTGCTCGACGCCACTGTCCGCGCCGACCGGAGCGCCGGCGGACCGGGCGGCCTCAGCCTCCGTGCGGGGGCGTACCGGGCGTACTGGGACGGGTTGTGCCGGGCTGTCAGGGGCTCTGTGGAGCGGGCGCTGGAAGCAGACGGGGCTGTCGGTGGCGGCGGCGGCGGCGGCGGTGTCGCGCTGGTGGCCATGTACCCGTTCCTGAGGAAGGCGTTCTTGCGCTTGATCAGCCGGCTGGAGGAAGCGACGGCGGCTCGCCAGCAGCAGCAGCAGCAGCAGCAGGGTTCCGGTGCTGCTAGAGGAGGGGGCGACGGGCTCATCGCCCCCGGGGGTGGTAGCGGCGCCGCCGCCGCGGCGTTCTGGCAGAGACCGGGAGCAGTCGGGCAGCAGCAACGGCTGGCAGGAGGGATCCTGGGCGGGTCCCGGTGGCTGGCGCTGGCGCTGGAGGACGACTACAACAACCTGTCGCTGGACCCTTCCGCGGCGGGCGATGAGGAGCAGGAGCGGCAGTGGGACCGCCGCGGGGCGGAGGCCGGGGCTGGGCCGGCGAGCGGTCGCCGCGTGCTCGGGCTGCGGGGCGGTAAGGGGGGCGGTGGCGAGGGAGGGGCAGGCGGCGACGGTGGGCGCGATGATGGTGACAGTAGCGATGGCGCGAGGCTGCTCGAGGCGCTGGGCCCGCTCCGGGACTTGTTTCTGGCGCGCAGCTTGGAGCGGCTGACGACTCCGGTGGAGCAGATGTTTCCTCAGGTGTGTGGCGTGGCATGGCGTGGCGTTGTGTTTGGCCGTCCTGGTGTTGAATTATGGGTGCCTTGCCAGGCAAAGTGGCGACGCAAGCCGCCGCGGCAGGGATCACGGCGCCGTCCTCTCAACCGCTAAGGCATGCGAAACATGAGTACGCCCCCCCCCCCC